TGCTCCCACTGGTGACCCCCAGCTGAAGCATGGAGGTGCAGAGAGGCAGCAGAAGTGGGAAATTGTGCGTGTTTTGGACAAGTCTGAAATCTCAAAATGGAAAATAAGATGTTTGAATTTGATATGCTAAATTAGTAATGGCAAGTTTGGGAGAGGGACAAATAATGCCTTTCTGGGCAGGTAAAGGACCATCCCAAATGTGCGTAGTGCGGCGCCGTGCCTTCTAAAGCAAAGGGACTCTGTTGTTGGAGGTGAGCAACACCATGATTGAAGTTTATTAAAAACAACAGCGGTTTAATGGAAACTGGACACCCCAGCAGTTCTTAAAGTATATTCTCAGCCTTCTTGCACTCAGTGGTATGACCGCTAATTATTTTTTTTAATATCTTTTTTCTACATATTTTATAACTTGCACTTTAGTATAAAATTGGAAGCAAAATCCAATTGTGTAGGAAAATTAATTTCCTTGAATTGAAGAAGCAATCTACTTGAGACTTTTTAATCATTAGATGATAACTGTGCACTAAAGAAAGGAAGACCATTAAAGTAACTTAATAGACTAGGATAAACGTTTTTCCCTGTATCTTCTTCATCTTTATTTAGAGATTCACGCTGAGGATATTTCATAAAAGCTGCTCTTCTTGACCTTTCGTCATTTCTTGTATAGAGGAGCCAACCAAAATAATGGCAAGGAACTAACGCTGTGGATTTCTGGATACAAAACCAATAACTCTGCTAAACATCTCTGTTCATACTTTCCTGCCAAATTCCGCTTTTCCTTTCTCATTAAAGAAAGAATAGCTATTGGGACAAATAAAAATGCATTTAGCTGAGCTGAGCTGTGTGATTTTTTAAAAACAAACTGTGTTAATGCTTTTAATTAAGGGGCAGAGGAACAAGAGGCTTTATCAGCTCTTTGTCTGCAGGCCATTATTTCATTGTGGATGGGCTATCTATTATTGTAAACGTCCACCTTTTTGAAGGATTTACTACAAAATCAAATAGTGTTTTTATTTAAATTGTTGAGCACCGCTTGATTCCTCATTTATTTAATATGGAGGCATTGTTACAAAGAAGAATGTAGCACTTAATTTGTATTGCTTGAGGGACCTCAGATCCGCTCGGGAGCGCTGCTTTGCATGCTTCATGGTATCGTGTGTTGAAAACAGAATGTGCAGCAAAAGGAAAAAGAGGAAAATTTGAAGGTGAAGTTGCAAAATCACAATCAGGCTGTTTCCAAGAGCATTTTGGAAAGGATCGGTGACTCTATGGTCTATAAACTGACGTAATCTTGCAATATAATAACCAAAAAAAAAAGCTTTCTTGGGGTACAGCTCCTGTGCATGGCTGTTGAACGGCTTCCAATTCAGAAAACCTTGTTTATCTGGTGGTCAGTTCCCAGTGATCCACATTATTGGGTCAGAAATGAAGTTTCATGTGTCTGAAACTTTCACCTGGATTTTTTCCTGGCTTTAATAGTTCTCTGAGTGCCTTTAACAGACCTAACAGGTTTTAACTGGAGAAATCAAAGGTTCCCATGCTCCACCACACCTATTCCCAGTGGAGGAGATGAACTGGGTTATTCATGCTCCGTGTAAAACCAGAGCAACTTACCCTTCTATTTAATTCCAGGAGGTGATCTAGGATAATGGAGCTATTAGATTGGGCATCTGTAACGTGGTTATCATTTCAGAAAGAATTGTTTCTGCTAATGGCAGTTAACTTGCTACAAATAAAGCAATAGAATTGAAATCTTAGGTACTAGAGTGGCAGCAAACCATGAAACATTATACCGCTTATTGGAAGGAAGGCCAAGCTTGCTGTCAGGGAAGGAATCTATTGAAAAAAACGCTCTGATAGATTCCAATTCTAACTAATTTAATATGGCAGCAGCGTTCAGCTGTTCTACCAGTCCATTAAAAGTATTCAAATGTCTATAAATAATAATACTCACATGGCTAGAAACATTCATCCAAGGAGCTTGAGGGTTTCACAAAGATTAATTTGTCCGACTGTCGGCAGAGCCGGGCTGTAAGGTCCTCGGAGGTTTTTGAGCCCTGTGGCTGCCTGCGGTGTGTTGAGGACCCTAGATGCTCCTCTGGCAGATATGGGTGTTTTCTGTGGTGTGGATGGAGAGTTTGAGAGTGAGCCTGATCCTTGCTATCTGTAAGCCTTGTCTGAGTATATTTGAGGATGCTTTCCACCTCTGCAAGCTGTAACTGCTTAGTTCAACCTTGAACATGCTCCACAGCATGGACAAGCCATGAAATGTGCTTTGAACCAGGATTTTGGGGCTGCTGTTAAAATACATGATCCTGTTGTCCTGTTTCTACCTCAAGACCAGATGCCCTCTGGAGAACAGGAATTTCGAAGTGGTGTGAGATTTCCAGATACAGAGGCTACCGTTGGCGTTACACCCTGCAAGCCTTCCCCAGACAGCACAAGGCGGTTGTCCCCTGGCCAGCCCGTCCTGCATGGTGGAGCTTCCCCCTGCTCAAAGCTTTGAGCTAAGGGTGGGCAGGGGGATCCCATAGCTCCCCGTAAGAGCAGACTCTGGCAGTACCTTGGCATGGCTTAACTGTAAAATTCATTGTCTTCTCCCTGCTGATCCCTCTAAGTGGATCTCATCAATGCTTATAAATACCTTATGGGTGGGTGTCACAAGGATGGGGCCAGGCTCTTTTCAGTGGTGCCCAGCGACAGGTTAAGGGGCAACGGGCACAAACTGAACCTCAGGAAGTTCCACCTGAACATGAGGAAGAACTTCTGTACTTCGAGGGTGGCAGAGCCCTGGCCCAGGCTGCCCAGAGAGGCTGTGGAGTCTCCTTCTCTGGAGAGATTCAAAACCCGCCTCGACGTGATCCTGTGCAACTTGGTGTAGGTGACCCTGCTTGGGCAGGAGGGTGGAATGGGGGATCTCCAGAGGGCCCTTCCAACCCTGATGATTCTGTGATTCTTGTTTTTTTTGTTTACAACAGGGATTCAAATGAAAGCGAGTTAAATGGGAGAACAGGTTTTGTATTTCTGTTTTAGTACAGAAAATATCCCAGAGGGTAAACTTTCCACATACCATAACCGCAACAGATTAGTGTATCCCCAAGCAGCGAGAACATAATGATACGGTTTTGTTCAGTGCCGTGCTCTGTGGCAAAGTGTAATTTCATGGAGAGGGTCACAAGTGTTTAACCACTCAAAAAATACCCCCAAACATGATCTCAGCTTGTGTGAATCAGAACAGCATCGTCATCTCAGGGCAGCTGTATCAGATGGAGATCTGGTCCAGTGTTTTGCAAGGTAATGAGGGAGGGATGATGCATGTGCATGTTGCAGTTACGGTCGTTAGTAAACACAGCTATCTACAATGTCCTTGAAATTGCATAGTTATTATAAATTAACCCCTGACACTGAGTTTTTCCTCAATCTTTCTGCTATTCTATTGATGTCAGTATTGTTAGTACCGCTCTCATTTTTCTCTATTATTTTTCCTGACCGGACGCTGTGCTTGGCTGCTCTTGCACAAGTGGACCTGAGCAGCGTTGTTAGCTGGAGGGCACGAGGTTTTGCAGGATGAACGTGACAACTTGATCTGTAACCCAGAGCCCTGTCAATATTGGTGGAACTGGGCAAATGGCACAGCGGATGTTTCTGCAAACAGTTGTCTTGATTTTTTAAAGGATTTGCTTCTGCAAATTTGCAATTTACCTTGTTGTCACTGGTTGGTGATGACTCCTTTGCGATATGTTGTAAAGATCCCAATCGGAAACCTTGTTTCACAGGATACCATAAAAACTAGTGTCTGTCCTGAAGTCCTGTTACTAGACAGAAAGTAAGAGAAAGCAAATGCCATTGTTACGTTTCCTTCACTTATGGGGAATGGAAACCCAAAAAGGTTGTGACCTTGCCCATAGACACCCCAAGATCTTTGCGACAGAGCCAAGACCTGAAAGCTTTTTAGCAATTTAATCCCAGGAGAACTCTTTCTCCGGTCTATACACGGTGAGATGAACTTGAATTTTGGACAGTTTCATTGCAGTGGTAAAATAATGTCTTCAAAGACACAGAACTCACTCATTGCCGTGAAGTTTCTGGGATAACCTGTGGCAGAAAGCATCTGAAGCCAACAGGAGCTTTGCAGAAATTAGCCCTCGGTCCGTTAAAAATTGGAAAATGTCAATAATTGTGCATTTGTGTTGTTTTTTCTTTTCATACAGGACACCGGCAATGATCGGCTGCTCATTTGTTGTGCACAGAAAGTTCTTTGGAGAGATTGGGCTTCTCGATCCTGGGATGGATGTGTATGGAGGGGAGAACATAGAGCTCGGCATCAAGGTTTGTGACACATTTGCGAGAAAAATTGCACCTAACAGTATTTAAGGAACCCAAAGCAACACTTTAACAAGTTAGCATAAACAGTTATTAGAATGCTTCAGGGGAGCTGAGCATGGATGTGTTTTATAACATTTTAATTTAAGTTTAAGGAGGGAAGATGACTTGCTTTTAGGGATGAGTGTAGTTTTTTTTTTCCTTTGGGTTCTTATCTGTCTGACCTGATGCAGAAAGCTACTGAGATGAAATGGCATGCCAACTTAAACAGGCCCTGGTCACGTTGTCACACTGTTGCTGTAAGTTATAGATATCTTAAATACCAGAAAAATACAGTGCCGTTTTTGTCATGTGAACAGCCTTAGCGGGGCTGGTGGGACTCTTGTGAGTACGTCAAGAAGACACAAAGCCTGAAAATATTTTACAGGCATTTAGTATCTGCAAATAAAGTATATTCACAAACAAGCCAAACCTGCTTTTAAAAGCAAAACACTAATAGCCATGTTTTTAGAGCTGCCTCTGTGCATCCGCACAGACATTCATCGTTATAGAATCCACTGTGACGACATCACTTGATTACTATGTACAATATTAGATGTGGCTTAGTGATTCGAGTGTTTACATACAGTGAAGTGATTCATAAGCAATGAATTCAATGTTCAGAAGCAACTTGGGATGGCAAAGTCTATGGAGATTCTTCCAGGCATATTTTAGAGTACAGCACTTGTACGTTAACAAGCTGATAGGGAGAGGCTTGAGACTTATAACTGGAAAATTGAATTGACTGTGCTGTTGTAAAAATGAAAAATCATTGTTCAGTTCATAGATTTACCAGAGGATATTTGCTTTGCTGGCAAATCAGAAGAAACTTAAGAAATCTATTGTTATTGGCTACGGGGAGCAATAATCTCACTTAAACAAAGGAATAGAAATTAAAGGCTTTAAATATGCCACATAGCTCTTCTCCATATGAAGTAATTATTGCACATCATCATGCAGCTCATTTCTTGGGTCTAGAGAGATCCCGCTCTAAACCAAGCTTCTCTTGTGGCTATCCTTATTTGTTTGTTTGTAGGAGTTTTTAATAATATCATTGTGGAACTAGACTTCTCACAATTAGTAACTCTACCCATCTGCCAGGTTTTTGAGGGATTTCATGGAAGATTGGCTTCATAACTGGAAAAATAAGATGGATGTCTTGGGGACAAGTGATGAGCATATGTCCTCTTCTTTTTCACATGCTGGACTTTTTAGAAAGGCTATCTAATAAAAGTCCTTTTGCAAAAAAAAAAATCCTTCTCTTCCCCATGTGACTTTCCCAAGTGATTTTCCCAAGCTTGCTTATATGTTTCCCTGGTGTTGGCACACTCATACGCTGTGTGTTCTGGTCAAAGTTTTAAAAATGTTGGTGGTTTTGAGAGCCAAAATACTTAGGAAATCCACCTTGTAAGACTACACAGAAAGTAGATTATCAAAGATTCCTGAGCTCCAAAAATCAGTCTCTCTGCAAGGGTCTTATTTAGTGACCAAGAGCTCATGGCACATCAGTCCCATTTAATATCCGTTGGCCATTGTGTATGCAAGGTCAGGTAGCTCATACGGAGAGCGATCCTGGAGATGGTGTGTCTGCGATTGCCAGATATTTGAGTTCCACCTCATAGTAAGATTTCAGTTATAAATAGTTTATCCAAGGCTACTCATTGTATGTGTAAGGAAAGCAAGAGTTGTCATGGATTCAAGCAGATGTCAGGTCTCTGATGGATATATCTGTTTCTAATAGTCCTGATACACAAAGCTTGCCAGCCCTTCCTCACGTGCTTGCAATTTGCCATGGCTGGGGTCTGTAGCAGCTGTATCATGTTACCAGTAATATGGGACTCTTTATTAATAAAATTCTTTTAAAGGATCAACTCTAATAGACAATTATTAGGCTTTTCTGAGTGTTTTCCCGTTTTGCCTGAGAAATAGCTGTCTGTAGTTGGAAAAGTAGTTCGGTGGTTCCTTGTTCGTTTCCATGATTCTTGGATGAAAATAAATACAGAAAGTATTTCTTTTCTTTTTGATGATGGTGCAAATTCCATCATCTTTCTGAGAATCATGTGACATTTTAAAAACATTATATTCTTGTATTACCAAAACCAAATGAGATAATAAACCCATTGAGGCTGTGAGAAAGACATGGAAAAACTACAGTGTTTCAGGCAAAAGCACAAACTAACTACATTATGGTAAAATTAAATGCAAGTAATCTGAGTAACAAAATGAAATAAATAATTGAGAAGGTTGTGCTGTCCTAACCTTGAAGGGCCAAGGCCATAAACTATCCAAGAGTCTTGTTTCATTAATATGCTTCAAATATCCTAAAAGAAGCTGTACTGTACCTATGTATGCTGAAATATACGGGCCATATGTTTCTTTCAGTTGCTGAATTCAGTTAACTAAATGAGAAAGTTCCTGCATGAGCTGCTTAAAAAAATAAAACCCTGTTATTCGCATTCACGGAGGTGGCTCTGGGCTCGCTGCTCTCCTGTACGTGCTGGGAAGCATCCTCGGATTGCTCAGATAATAATAATAAAGCCATTAAGCAAGTTGCTGCCCCAGGCAAATTCCTGTTCTGCTTGCGGGGTAGCTTTGGCCCTAACAAGGGGAACATGCTGTTCTCTGTATTATTGTATTTTCTTTTATCACACTGGAGTGTCTCCAGAAGGTTGTGCTTATTCACTCCTCTTGTCCCTGATGTCCACTACTTCACTTCCCGAGGCAGAATTGAGTCTAATTCTCCTTTTCTTGGCAGAGAGCGGAGAAGTGTTTGCAAAGTAAGGCAGTTTAGGCTAATACTTCAACTGAGAGGTTTTCAACGCGTTTTTTTTTCTCTTTCTCCCCACCCCCCGCCCCCCAAAGCGTGCCTTGCAATCAAATTGTAATAGCACCAGGTCTTTTGTATTGTGTTGACCTACATTTGATCTGTTCCTGCATTAATAACGCTCCCCAGCAGACTGTTTGTGGAAATCTTATCCTTGCGCCCGGCTGATGAGGCTGCTAGGGCTGGGACATGTGGAGACATCTCATACCTGGTCTTGTTCTGGCTGCAGGAATAAGGAGAGCTAGCATTGCGCCAAGCTCCCTCTGCCCCTCCTGGGGAGTGTGTGGGTGCTGTGGACCACAACCTGGCCCCTTCCCCGAGCCCAGCTCCTGCTGTCGGTCCCAGAAAGAATCATAGATTTATAGAACCGTTTAGGTTGGAAAGGACCTGTAAGATCATCGAGTCCAACCGTTAACCTAGCATGGCCAAGTCACCACTAAACCATGTCCCTAAGCACCATGTCTACACGTTTTCTAAATACCTCCAGGGATGGTGACTCCACCACTTCCCTGGGCAGCCTGTTCCAGTGCATGACAACCCTTTCGGTGAAGAAATTCTTCCTAATATCCAATCTAAACCTCCCCTGGTACAACTTGAGGCCATTTCCTCTCATCCTATCACTTGTTACTTGGGAGAAGAGACCGACCCCCACCTGGCTACACCCTCCTGTCAGGTTGTTGTAGGGAGCGATCAGGTCTCCCCTCAGCCTCCCCTTCTGCAGGCCGAACAACCCCAGCTCCCTCAGCCGCTCCCTGCTCCAGACCCTTCACCACCTTTGTTGCCCTGCTCTACACTCGCTCCGGCCCCTCAAGGGCTTTCTTGTCGTGAGGGGCCCAAAACTGCACACAGGTTTCGAGGTGCGGCCTCACCAGTGCCGAGTACAGGGGGACGATCACTGCCCTGGGCCTGCTGGCCACACCACTGCTGATACAAGAATAACCTGCTCTACCTGAACAAGCTTTGAGCCAACTCTTTTAACCCTTTGCTGTACTGAACAAGTTTCTGCTCTGATTTTATATACCTGGTGTCCAGTTTCTGCGGCTTGAAAGTACTGACGCTGCTCTGGGGCCCCACCAGCTCCACGTGTGAATTTTGGCACAGAGGCTTCTCTGGCCATCTTTGCTCCTTCTGTTGAACATTTTTCTTTTATTTTAAAACTGTTTGTGGCCTTGGCTGTTAGTGACTGTGTGACTAAGTGCGAAGACTACTTTTGCTGGATGTCTCGCTGTTTCTCTGCAGGGAGGGTTTTATGGGTTTTCTTGGTTAGTCACAGACATTCAGTAAAGATGCTCCATAAAATTGTGTGTATCTATTTGAATAAAGATACAAAAGTCTATTGCGTGACTGTTGCCATGATTTCAAAGTTTGGGATGGGTTACAAGGTTGTTTTCAGAGTATTTTGTGCTTCTGTCATGCATTGCTAATTAAACTTATGTGAGTTGTCTTTTAAAGATTAATTTAATCAATAAGGGTATTATTACTACTTTGATGGTATCATTTGTACAAATTGTCACTTGAAGAAAGCAATTAACTGAGAATGCTTATTAACTGATCCATCCCACACCTTATTTGTGTAGTAAGAATCGATTATTAAATTCATTAAGAAAAGCACAATTCAGGGATCCCTTTAAGGTTTGGTGACTGACTCGAGCTACTTTTTACTATGAATGTTAAATTGTCTGAAGTTTTGATTGGATCTTTTAAAACTGTTTCCAGAGGAAAAGCAGGGCATGTCATCTTAATATCCCAGATTTTGTCATCTAGGTTCAACAGGCCAGATTTCTGGTGCTGCCAAGCCAGCAGTTGCATGCGTGGAGCAGAGTTGCATCCATGTGCATAGCTCTAAGGGCTGGGAATATGGAGCTTTGAAAATCAAACGGGTGCAATGCAGAGCATTAAGCATATTGTTGTTGTTGGTGATTGCTTTAATAATCAGACTCTCATCCTGGAGCCGCTTACGCACAAAAGTAACCTCTTTGCACTGGCAGTGACATTGATCCTCTCCCAGAGGGTACCATGCCTGTATACCCTTCAGTCTTTCAGAAACCCTTAAAATAGATTAAATAGCATTTTAATGGTACAAATCTCTTGTGTGCGTTTCATCCATGAAGGAGCCCATTTTGTTTATATGAGTACGATTATT